TTATGTTACGTTGTCATCTCGGGGGAGGGGTCAGGTACCTTTTAAATAATTCTCCAATATATTCCAATTGTGTGGCAAGTACCGACGCCTTCCTGTGGCTTCTGCCTCTTTCTATACATGTGCAAGCAAAAACAAAACTAAACCACTACAGCATCGGTTATCTTTTTTGGGCTTGTCTCAATCTTTCTTGATATTTCTTCCTCAGCAACTCAAGCTCCATGATGTCAGAAGCCTGATTGTGTTCCATTGGTTGTCTCTTCTTCGGAAGCCTGGACATCGCGCGACTGATGTCGCGGGGTGTGTGTTAGATTCCGTCTGTCGGAAAAAGCTTTCCGTGAGAATTTCCAACAGCTCGGTTGTCCGACTCAGTTCCCCCCCCGGGATTGATCCACAAATTAATTGGAGCACATGGACACGCTCGTAACCAAAACTGTTCTGGAGCCAAAAAATTCCAAGCTACCGTCTGACACGTCTAGGAATAGTTTTTTTCGACTACGTCCCCCCACCTCAAAATAATAAAAAAATTATTTTGCTGGTGGTCCCTCCTACGGTCCCTAGATCGGGACGGGTGATATTTTCACCAAGGTCTGCGAAAGATAGGTGTGTGGAAACAACCAAACCAAGAAGACTTCTAGGATATACCCCACATTTGTATGTGTGCTGCCTGACTAATACCCAAAAGGAATTGCGTTCTTTGAAGATAAAGTGAGTGACAGCTGATGGACAGTCCATGTGGCAATCCAGGAAAATCACCAATGAAGACAAGTACCTGGATATCTCAAGTGGTGCCCCAAATGATGGACGGTCCATGCACAGTCGTTTATCAAGAGTTCGCCGACTTGTGCCTCGATGGCCACCGCTTCATCTAAACTAACTCCCAAGGTTCGACGCATGATTTCTGAAGGAAACACACACAAGGAACAATTGAAGAATACTCAAGACCTCCCACTCCTGGCATTTCTGGCGATGCTACTTGCAAGACTCGGGTCCAAGAATGAAGGCCTCCCATGGGCCTCCCATGGGCCTCCCATCGGCTACAGGAACGGATGATTGATGGCAACATGCAGCTGAACACGATCACATGCAATGCTATGATCCGAGCTTGTGATCAAGCCGGCCAGTGGCAACGAGCTTTGGACGTGTCACTGGACGAGCACATGAAGCAGAGCTTGGTCTTTTCATGAAGCGGCCACATCCAAAGGATTCCAAGAGGATCACAACAGAACACAAATCGATACACAGCGCGTGAACCGTAACAGCATGTGGAAACCAGACTCAGACGACGTAGGCCGGGGTTCCAAGGATTCCTAAGACAATATAATATTAATATATACATATATCTTAATATATATATAACATTAATATATATATATATATATGTCAGGTCACCACCAGGATCGCGGTTGACACAGAGTGGCCGAGGTTGAAATTGCAAAGGGCCGAGCAGATTCAGATCGATGCGTTCACTTATAGCTCTACTGCCAGCGCTTGTGCGAAAGGTGGATTGCCTTTCCAATCAGATAGATCTGACTCGTTGCAAGTGTCAACCCTGGATTGGCTAGCATGCAGCCCAGCGCACATTCTGGCGATTCCAACAGCTCAATTGTTCAAATTGTATACTCTCGAATGAAGGAGGTTCTTTCGTCAGCATTTTCAGAGGCACAATGGGCTTTGAACTAGCGTTTTGCATACTGTTGATGGAATCAGCCTACTACTGTTCTCCAGTGCGTTTTTGGACAGCTTTCAAATCTCGAAGGTGGTCAATGGACGCTGGGCACATTGCTCCTAGTAGCTTGACAGATGTTTTCACTCTTGTGCGCTGCTGACTTGCTTTTCTACTCTTAAGTTTTTTTGCTTATCGACAAACTTACTATCCTTTCCGGACCACCGTGGAAGATGCTGAGGAAGAGATGATCAAAGCAGCTGAGAGCCGGGAATGCGAAATCAACACCATTTGCATGAATGCAGTGCTAAGCTGTTTTGAGAAGGCCCAGCAATGGAGCAACTCGGGGAGCAACTGCTCAAAACATGTATACGGATTATACAGGGACCGTGTGAAAGGGTGAATGTGTGAATTCACCAATAAGTGCCTACAGGCTCCGTTTTTGAGATCACATTTCAATGAACATGTCTTTTGCACGCTTTGCACTTGGACACTTAATACTAAGCTCTAGACTTGAAGGACTTGAAAAAACACCATGTTTGTTCCCCCTTTCGGAACTTTGGCAAAGTCAGTCAGCACCCACCGGACAAACCATGCCTCCAAGGCAGGGCCATTCTATGCTTCGAGGAGATGCCACTGCGAAGGCTGCAGCCAGACAGGACGGCCTACTATGCGGAAGTGTTGGACACTTAATGTATTTGTATATATATATATATATGCGATCAGACCATTCCCAAACTCTGAGTGTAGTAGTCTATTCTGCAGAACTCTGTAGAATATGGAGTCCTCTCCTCAAGCCATGGGTTTGTTTGGAGTGGAGCTCTCCCGAAAGCAAAACACTGGCATTCGAGAGCGGCACTCCACCTTTTTTCCGTGGGAAGTGCCATAGGACACGCTTTGATTGTGAGGACTAGCTACAATTGCCTGATGTCTGCTTGTAATTGGCCCACATCCTTGCAGCTCTTGGAAGAGATGACGCAAATACACCTGCGGCGAGATGTTGTGAGTTTCAATGCAGTCATGCAAGCATGCGCACGCCCCTCGACAACACCGTGCTGGCAGACAGAACTTCCCCACATATGTTGCCAAGTTCCTGAAGCACTGGCCATATTTACTAAGTCAATCTGGCAAATACCCTGGGAAACAACTGTGAACCGGTGTTTTGGAAATACCCTGGGAAACGGTGAACACGGTGAATCTTCAGGACCATTGCAGCCTGGCATTTGCTTCCCGATATTTAATACTACATAATATAGCCCCTCATGCACAGCTGCAGGATGAGGACATCGTGAATGGCACTTCATTGAATGATATGACTCAAATGTCGGGAGACCCTGTGAAGACTAATGTGAGGCACATCGACTCACCAACATGGATAGTGCTGGAAGCACCCTGTTTGTGGAAGATAGTCTTCCCAGGCGTCAGGCCATCTAGCCATCCATTAGTCAGAGGGTAGCATGAACGAATGACTCAGAAGCATGGTTGGATGATGTTGGATGTAGGATACCCCCATTTTGGAGACCACGTGCGCATCTCCATCACCATCTCGCCCAAACGCACGACGATTCCAGGTCGTGGAGAATGGCCACGTGCGCTTGCACTGCTTCGCAACATGCAGGCTTCGACTGTGGCTTGGAAGGAAATCTCCTGTAGCTTCTTGTTCCGTTCGTAGTAACAATGCTCCTAGTAACGATGCCAGGAGCCCCGTTTCTAGCGTCTTTGCTCCTAGTAGTAAGGCCAGGAGCCCCTGGTAGCTTCTTGTTCCTAGAACGTCAGCAGTGAGTTACTCTTTTTCAGTTAAAGTAGTACCAGATGTTGACTTCACCTGACGTGTGTTCGGCTACACGGTAGCAATGGCATTCTTTTGGACATGCCAATCTCTTGGGGATGAGGTCCGAGCAAGCCTTGTGAGCATGAATACAGCCATGAGTGCCTGCGCAGTGGAAGGCAAGTGGCAAGAGACCCTGAGTTTGCTGGCTACGTCCATCAGTGAAAGACTGGCGCCTCGGAGAAATGTAAGGAGCTAACAGCTAACTGAGCCAACTCAGACTCAGGGTGTACATGTTTCTAAGGACTTTTGTAACTCTTGCAGTAATCATGCATAGATCTTAAATCTTCGCCTGCCTTTTTTTCGCCCATCGGGGAACCCCGTATCGCTTTTTCAACCAGGCCGTGGACATCATCAGCCTGTCGCTCACGGCGAGCGCCCTCTTAGGCGAAGGGCCCGGAACGCCGAAGGCATCGATGTCATGGGTGATCGAAGAGATGGTCAGCAGAAGGACGGGGTGTCGGAAAGGCCTTCGCCGGTGGGGTCAGGGCTTGGTGCGGCAAATGAAACATGAGGGAACGGACGAAGACCTGGTCTGGCGCTTGGAATTGACGAGAATTGGGCTTGCACGCTACAGAGATGGGTAAAACTATCCTCCAGTGCAAGAATCGGATGACTTCTGACATGAGAGATTTTGCTGAAGCAGACGGAATGTTAAAGCCCTTCAAAAATGATGCGTTAAGCGCAAGCCAACTTTGATGCAAACTTTGTCTCCATGGTGTAAGCATTGTTCTTTTTAATGCACACATGACAAGTTGGGCAGATTGGTGTTGGTTCCTCAATTGGTGTGAGACAAATATTTGGTCACCATGGCAACCATACGGTTCCTCAAGGTGTTAGTGTTGGACAGGTTTGGGCTACTGATGAGACCGGACGGTGGGTTTCCAAAGATCCTCGAACCTACTCACTAGACTCTTCATGTGGCACGTCACGCCGTCTTCCCACAAGGATTCTTTCAAATAAACTCCTTTAAATCATGAAGCACGAGATTGTTTTTGTTTGACCTTAATCACCCATGCACTGAATGCCATGCATTCCAAATATTTGCATACCATCCACCAGATGATTCATGATATGCTTCATGCATCTTCATGCCTCCCCTTCACACATGCCCTCCCAACCAACCCACGCACCATCAAGTAAATGTTGCCTTCCCCCTGGGGTAGGATTCGTTTGACCAGCTCCGTGCGCTCGAGCCTCCTCAGCGCCCTCCCGCTGCGCCGCCCCCGCGCCGTCGTCTTCGACGCCTTCGTCGCCAGCTCCGTCGACGGCGCGTGGCGGAGGGCGGTGGAGCTGGTGGATGCGACGCGGAAAGGACGGAAGGGAAGAGGAGGGATGAAGAGGGCGGGAGGCTGCAGCTGGAGGAGCGTTCGAAGGCACCTCCAGCTTGGGTAATACACGTGTTTTTTAGTGGAGCGTTCTATGGCACATGCTACGAGCATGTCCGCCTGAAGCTGGGGCGAAAATGGTGGGAGGGCTTGAGATGTGGACAGTTCAAGGGTGTCAAGGGTGAAGGGAAAGTTCATCATGCGGTGAAGCAAACTATTCTGAAGGATGTTTGAAACTTGCAAGATTCATGATGTGTTTGAAACCATTTTCCCAACTAACATCCTTCAAAGATCCAAAAAGGATAGTGTTATTCGTGGGGCTGATATGAGGATAGTAGCGCCACCTCTACTCCTAGTGGCTGCTAGTGGATCCCGCCTCTCAGGACGCCGCTTGCGCCGGGGTCCTTTGGCCTCTGCAGCCTTCCTTCGGCACCTCGTGACACTCGCCTCGACCTCTGCCTGCCTGTGGCTACGACGGGTGATGCGCAGCAGCGCGAGGGGCAGCAGCTGTGTCTTCAGGGCCAATCGCGCAAAGGTGCGAGGTCCTGTCTTCCGCGGCGAACATGGATGGGATTGACGAGATTGGGTGACGATTCTTTTGAACGACGAACAATGGAGTTGCGGACGAATCCAAGAAGATTCTTGGATTGACGACCTGGGTATTATAGGAGTTATTATAGGTTGGTGTCTCCTCCATGGTCGAACTGAAGCACTCTCCGCGGGTGATGAATTTCCAGAGCGATGGTGGCTACCTGATGTGTTCTACGCCTACCTGATCTGTTCCTGACGTAAAGACTCGTCACACAAGTTAATGCAACATCGAATACATTTTTGAAGCGCACGGACCACAAAGCCCCTGTTCCAGGCGAAGCCTGATGTGCTGCGACAGCTGAGGGCCCAAGGATGGCATGTCGTTGCCGCTCCGTTCCATGCAGACGCTTGGACGCCAATACAGGTATATGTTTTTAATGGGGGGCCCCCCCCTGGGTTTTAGATGGTAGATTAGTCTATTTGTTCTTCTTCCAAATTCTTTCTTTTGCCTGGGAAGTCTTCATATTTCAACATGCATCCATTTAATTCCATTTTCAGGTTTTTCTTTCAAGGCCCAGGGGCCCACAGACCAAGCACGACTTCTCCAAATAGGACTCACAGGACCATTCATTTGGGTGTCCTGGCTGGACTATGCTACACTACTTAATGGGTTTCCATTCGACACCAATTGGATGGTCCAGGTATCAGGTTCTGGTTGGGTGGCAGTCCATGGTTTGAGCGTAAGGATCTGAAAGCGATCCATGCTCGAATTCTTTTCAGATCTGGCAGATCCCTGGCCCCGGAGCGGTGTTTTGGGAGCGGACGGTTTGAAACGATGTGTTCAAACACGTTGAACAGCTCCATCGATCAAGCCATGCAGTTAAGACATGTTAAGACATTATTTTTCCAAACGAGCACACCCATGCCGATCATAACCATTCTCCTGCACCACCCAACCTCGGTGGCGAAACATTCTGATTAAAGTCCATCCTCCCCCTGGTCGGTAGCTCGGTACGCATCGGTACTTGCAGTTGTCCCCCACCAATGACTTAAGATTTGGACGGTGATCCCCGTGGCGTTGACCCGATCCCAGCGGGGCGGGGAGTGAAACGCCAGGGGCGTTAGCTTCCATGGCTTGCAAGGATGCTTTCCACGCCACCTTCGACCATTCGACGGACACCGCGACGCTTGGCGTGACGCTGCCGCACTTGACGGGAGAGGTCTACTTCCAGGAGCTCTCCTCCATGTTGCCCGCTGCCGCCACCTGTCCCCAAATTAGTGAGAAAGTGAAGGGGAGCTGGTGGGAGAGTTGCCGGTCCAAAGCACAATCAAAAGATCAAGAAAGTGGTCAACCGGAGAACGGATCGTCTGAGGTTTCCGGTATCGTTTGTACACGCGGTGTCATCCTCTTCATATCGACTTAGTTTGGGGCGTTCGACCACAAGATGAATGAATAATGTTTGGTTGGGTCCCTTTACACTATTCAGTATTTGTTAGAGTTTGTTTGGGTGCAGAACATATCACCCCATCTCCACACCTCATGCTCACCAAACCCCATCCCCAACCCATGTGACTTTTTGATACTTTTTGTTTGATCCAGATTCTTGGGTGACGTGTGATGATGGGTGACCAGTGTGCACAGATGATCCAGTGACCAGTGTGAAAACCTGTTCCAGGTTCGGTCACCAGTGTTCCAGGGTCTGAGACCCATGGTCCTTTCCTTGCCATCTTTCAGGTTCTACAGGCCGTGTTGCCAGCTGATTCGTTGGTCTTAGACTTGTGCGCTGCACCTGGAAGCAAAAGCACCCAGCTGGCCCAGTTCCTCGCGAGAGGCACGCACGGGACCTTAGTGGCCAACGAGTTGGATCCCTTCCGCGCAGGAAAGCTGAGAGCGAATCTGCTGAGAGTTGGCTTGACGCGGCTCGCACATGGTGTAAAGCAGACTCGTTTTTGGGTGGTTTGGGAGGTATTCACAGATGCTTCCGAGTTTCCTGCAGGGCAAAATGATGAGGGTTGACCTCATTTAAGGGGTCTCAGACGATATTGAAAGGAAATTGGACTTGAGGTAACGAGCATGTGAGGATGGACAGCTGTGGTTCTTGGTTTCCATAGCATTTACACGGCCTAGGAATTTCGTTGTGACCACCATGGATGGCAGAGCATATGGCGATTTGCTGCCCAACACCTTTGACGGTGTCTTGGTAGATGCGCCTTGCAGCTGCGAAGGGAATGCCCGGAAGGATATATTTGCCCTGTCCCTCAGCGGCATGTGCTTTTGTGCCAGCTGTCCTGGTGTCCTGGATCCACTGGCCCTCTGGGTGGGTTGGTGATGCCCCTCCGAGCGCATGGGTTAAGCATCCGAAACGAGAATCTTGAGAGGTCCTGAAACATGTGTTTTCCGCCTGTGTCAAGCCTTCAAACTCACATGTGTGTGCAAGTGCAAGGCCTCTCACACCTCAATTCTCTTCTGCTGAAGCTCTTATTATTATTCACCCTTCAAGCTTCTTCGGCAGGGCCCCAAAGTCGAGATTTGTATACAACTTTACTGTCGCAGACATCCTGTCGACCTGAAAGAAGTGGACCAAATTCGCTTGCTAGCTGCTAGTACGAGTATAGTATGGGGGACTATTGACATGACTATAAAGGCTATAAAGGCGGTAGTAACAAGTGCCTCGCTAGTAGTAACAAGTGCCTTACTACTAGTAACAAGAAGCTATTAATTTAAATCTAATTCTAATAGCTTCTTGTTACTAGTAGTAAGGCACTTCTTACTACTAGCGAGGCACTTGTTCCTAGTAGCTTAGGTGGTCCTCAGCCGACCTCTTCACCATGGCGGCCGTTGCAACAACCGACCAACCGACCTCTTCCATCCGAGGCTGCTCGCCGGCGAGCGGGACTGGAGCTTGGAGGAAAAGCAGATGGAGCTTGCGTTGAGTGGATGGAACGTCTTGAAGTCCGGGGGCTACCTAGTGTGTCCTGGCCTGAAATCAAGGGCGAGCAGGAGGGCACCAATGGGATTCCCGGACTGCGGCAGCATGGTCAATGCTGGATCTGAAACGAAAGGCGCGAAATGTAAGGTTTTGACTCAGAATTAGAAAGTGTGATTTGCTGGTCTTGAGGTATTCCACCTGCACTCTCAATCGTTGGGAGAATGAGGGTGTTTGTGAACGGCTTGTGCGGCTCGGCGGCTGTGAACGTGTTCCTGTCGAGAAGGTGCTGGGAATGCCGTCCGTTGATGCTTCAGGACGCCTAAGCAGATATGAGCACTTCCATGTTTTTGATTAGGCTTTCTTGTGGTTTTGCGAGTGTTGATAAGGATGAGAAGTTTTGCGGCATTTTGAGAGAATTGTAGTATGCCACACCCAACACACCATGAGGGTCTGGTGTTATGTTAATTAATCCATCCACTCCGAGATGCATTTTCCGAATGTCTCAATGGGTCCAGTGTTTTGCTCCAGCATGACATGGGTGAATTCTTACAAAATTATACAACATGATCAGACTCTCTCCCTTGCACGACCTGATGATTGCAGCCGTAGCTGAAGACCAGGACGCTTGTGGCCTCAAGAGTTGGATGCTGAAGGCACCTCGGACGTTTGTTCCAATGAGTTCATCATTGAACCCTATACGGGTAGCAATACAGTGACGACGATGGGCCACAGGTTGGCCAATTGTTCAGTGTCTATGGTCTTTCGAAAGTGCATTCCTCACCACACCTGTGAGCAGCTTCCCTCCAACATCCCTCCTTCACGTTCCACCAGTGCCCAAAAACGAATAGCACCCTCCTAAACAGTCCAGGCTGTTCTCTCATCACCTCTTGTCCTCTCTGTCATTCGTCATTTCTTCCTTCGCCTCGCACCTTCGCCGACAGACTCGCACTGGTCCGCCCCGCCGCACGGTCCGTACCCTCCAGGCTTCTTCGTCGCCTGCTTTCGCAAGACGGCGCCGGTGCACGGCGTCACGGCTCCGAGGAGGGCGCCGGAGCCATTCCGGCTCCGTGGGGCGGTTCTGTTGGCGCCGGAGGAGGCCCAGCGCTTGGAGCAGCGTGCGGTGGAGGTCATGGGCTTTTGGCCAGGGGAGAAGGAGACCATGGACGGCGAACGAACGTTGGAAGTGGTGGATGGGTGTGGATAGATGTGCATGCATCGGGATTGAGAATTTGAGAGTGTGGAGACGCATGGGGGATCATGGAGGTAAGATGTTAATGTTTTTGCAATTCTTTACAGATAACTGAGAACGGATTGTAGATCTGCACGCGCGAAAGTGATGAAGGGTGAGGATTCTGCGTTCCAGTCAAAGCATTTTTCAACAGGACGATCTATGCCACGAGGATGCGCGCTCGGGCAGAATTTGGCTATTCAAGAAAGGGCTTCAGGTGCCTCTTGCACTGGTGCCCTACTGTTGGGATTTGGGACTCTTGATTGCCCAACGTTCGAACTCTGTGACCTGCTTGCAGCAAAGCTTGGGCATCGGCTTTAGAGGGCAGAGAGAGGGGGAGAGAGAGAGAGAGAGGGGAAGAAAAGAAAGAAAGACCGACCGACCGAACGAAAGAAAGAAAGAATGGCAAGAACAGAGGAAAACGGAAAGACAATGACAGGAAGGAAATAAGAAATGACATGGACAAAACAGAAAAAAGAAAGAACGGAACGGAAGGTAAAAGCGGAAGCAAAGGAAAAGACAAATAATGCAACATACCCAGCGAACCTGCAGACTTGTTTGGTTCTGCACTTGTCCTAGACCATGAGCTGAGACTCCTCGGCCCAGGATGGTTTTGAGCTCTCAGAAGAGCTGTTGCTTCTGGCGGGGCAACGTGCCAGGACGGAGGTATATAGTTTGCTCTAGAGATGCCTGTTGGATTGAGGAACAATATCACACACATACCAACATGGGATCCCATACTTGTAGTATGTTGAACCGCGGAGCTTGAGAAATATGCCGATATATTTCACACGCACTGCAAGACTTTTTGTACACAGGAGCAAAGTTGAGTGGTCATCATTGGTGAACCGCATAGAATGCAAGGGCAAAAGGAGCTGCGGCTGGAAGGGATTGTTGCTTCCGAGCTTACCTGCGCAGAACTTGCAACTCAGTCAGAGTCATAGTCATAGCAGTAATCTACGGGCCACTTCTGCGACGAACCAACGCAACATGAAGAACACATGAAGATAAATGTTCATGAACAACACGTATCCGTATCCCTTCTTTTGCAGAGGATGAGGAAACATATGTTTCATCCCCTTTGGGTTTATACATGTTTATACCATGTTGTACCTAGATGTTCCAACTGTGCAACATATTTGCCTTTCATCTATAAAACCAGCCAAACGGCGGCGGACATTTTGCATACTTGGAAGATCCAGGTATACAGTTCCCAACCACTGGCTCTCTCCCTCTATCTTTGTCTCTCTTTGCCGCCCTCCAACGCCCTCCACCGTCCATCGCCAGACCCGTCAAGAGCGCCGTGGCCTTTCGACGCTCGGGCGGATGGTGAAAGAGGTCGGTCGGTTGGTCTTTTTGGGGGTTTTGAGGAGCCAGGAGCGACTGTCACTCGAAATTCCCTTGCGGCACCGGTGGGACTTCCCGGCTGGACTTTGGGAGGTTCCCAAATAATTACCAAAAGTTGTTTCTGCTAGAAGTTGTTCATCTTGAAAAAACAACAACAAACAAGAAAAAAACAATCATAACATGCAGCCAGAAAAGCAAAAGCAATCATACAATAAAAAAGGAGCAAACAGAATTGCAAGCAAACATGGAACAACACAGCATGTTTGTAACAAGCAAGAAAATACCTTTGCAACAAACAGCGTGCTGCTGTACGAAAGCACGGAGCACGGAGCTGATTTGATTTTAAGGATTAAACTCAATGGGTTTCGCACCTTGTGCTTCCTTCCTAGGTCCTGTACTTCCTTGGCACCTGTTCCACGAAGGATGTCCTCCCAGACAAAATTACTGCTAATTACTGCTACTGTAGCTGTGAGCGACTGGGTGACTAACTGTACATCCCTCAAAAAAAGCTCCGGGTGGCTGACACCTACATACATGGTCCCTGAGGTTTCTGCACTCAGCCGGGCTTTCTGGCGCATTTCTGGCGCACTGGTGGGGGCACTTTCTGGCGCACTTTTGGTCGTTCATTTTTCGCATTTGCTTTCGCTCTTTTGTGTTCGTTGCACAAAGAGCAAAAAAAGCCACCAACAGTGCGCCAGAAACTCGGCACCAGAAATAGCGACCAACAGTGAGACACTTGACCCGGCACCAGAAAACCAGTCTGCTGGGCTTATACCTAGTACTAACCCTACCCGGCCCCCTCGCAAAATGATTGAACGCGTTGAGTTCCGAATCTGGGGTTAGTCTGTAGAGGCCCTTGCTAGTGACTAGTGGTGCGGGTAGTAAGTAGTAGTAAGTAGCAGCAGCACCAGCAGCAGCAGGAGTAGTAGTGGTGGTAGCTTAGTAGTAGTTAATTAGTACTTTTCTTGCACTTAGCTTTGCTTGGGATTTCTTGGTTTGCACTTTTGGTGCTTTTTTTGCATGCTTTATAGTTTTTTTTTAAAGTTTCTAGAATAAAGCCACCCCTGGTGGACACAATGTCAACTGTAAGAAGGGGTTCCTAAAACACACACTACTGACCATACTTGAGATGAAACCCTACCTCGTGGGTCTGGGGGCGTTCATCAACGCCTGACAGGTGGCCCCTCAATTGACCGGACTCGTTGCTAAACCTCTAATGCAACCCCAATCGATTTTCAATATGTAAAGGGAACTGGGGCAGGAATTGGGGTCCGTGTGATTCTAAGGATTAAATCAATGGGCTTCGCACGGTGTGTTTCCTTCCTAGGTCCTCTCAAACAAAGTTATTGCTGCTGCTACTGTAGCTGTGAGCGACTGGGTAACTGTACACCCTCCAAAAAAACTTTGTGGCAGCTGACATCAACATGGTCTCTGAGGTTTCTGCATTCAGCAAAAAAACAAACAGTGCACCAGAAACTCGGCACCAGAAAAGACAGCGACCAAAAGTGAAACACTCGACCCTACCCAGCCCCTCGCAAAATGGTTGACCGCGTTGAATTCCGAATCTGGGGTTAGTCTGTAGACGCCCTTGCTAGTGACTAGTGGTGCGGGTAGTAAGTAGTAGTAAGCAGCAGCAGCAGGAGTAGTAGTGCTGGTAGTTTAGTAGTAGTTTTAAATGTGTGTGTATTTTTCTTGCACTTGGTTTTGCACTTGGTTTTGTTTGTGCTTTCTTGGTTTGCACTTTTTGTGATTATTTTCAAGTTTCTAAGTTTGTAGAATAAAACCACCTCTGGTGGACACAAACCTAAAGATTACTCAAGGGGTATGATGTTCTGCATGCGATGGATTTCAACCGGCGGGTCGGGAGATGACATAGGCTTCGCTTGTTCGCCCAAGTAAAGGCTCCTTGCCACTCAAATCTCTGAATTCTCTGGTTGAAGGCATGACCTTACAGGACCTGTCACAGAACGTACCTCCAATCAGAGGCGACCTCGCACCTTCATAAACCAGAGGTATGATACCTCATACCTCCTGTGGACATCTACAAAACATACCTTAAGGTCTGAAGCAATGATATGCAATGCTTTCTGCATTTTGCTTACTCAGGAGACTCGGAAGATGTTGCTTCACCAGGTCAGCGAGACAGTCGCGCGTTTGGGGAGACTTGGAGAGACTGGAGCCGTTCAAGTTTTGGATCCGGGTAGCCAAAACAATCCCATCCACGGGGTGCAACGGCAAAACTATACATAATATTACATAATTACAACTAACTCCGTCAGTTAATAGTTAAGAAATTCATGTCATGCTTTAGGTCTCGGTATGTGTGACTTGTTGCATTGTTCTGCATTTTGCCTTGGAAGGCAAAACGGAACACTTGCAATAACATGTCAGCAACAAAAAAAATAAGAGCAGAAACCAAAGCACAAACCGTGCAACTCCTCTTGCTGGTTTCTTTTTGTCTCTAAAGCACTGACTGGCCTGGAGAAATACATACTCCACTACTGCAGTGATTGGGTCCTCAATCCATACAGGAGGCCATCGCTCTTAGGTTGGAAGCCATCGCTCTTAGGTTGGAAGTCATCGCTCTTAGGTTGGAGGCCATCGTTAGTAGGTTGGAGGATTAGGGAGATCCAAATTTGTAGGGCCTTGCTATCATCAACTCAAGCATGACTGCTTTAAGGCTTGAAGGCTCTGCTGCGGCTGCAGGGTGAGTAGTATTTTGCACAATTCCTTTTTGCATCTTTTTGCTATTGTTTTTGCTAACGATATTGCCATATGTTATGATTGTTATGTTATGTCCCTTACAATCATCGCATTTTGAACTGTCTTTCCTTTGGGGATCTAACTGTTAAGCTGCATTATGGCTCTATGGTGCACTTTCAACCACTCGTCGCTAATGCCTTCCAACCGTGTGCAGGGCCATTGGACTTCAGGGCAGAAGGCGCGACACTGCATGGGCAGAAGGCAATACGGAAATACCAGAGTAAGAGTAGGAAGACGTATTGCTCATGGGTTGAAGGCCATTGCTAGGTTGGAGGCCATCGCTCTTGGGTTGGAGGCCATTGCTATTGGGTTGACCTCTCAGTTGATGTAGACCATATTGACCTCAGTGCAGAGAGCGACAGATGCAGAGGCTTGCAAATAGATTGACTCTAGAGTCAGACACTGCTTCTTATTGTTGTCTCTACAGTGTTGATAGGTAGGCATTCATGTCCAATGATTTGATGTAGATATCACAGTTCATGGATTTGCTTAAATGTCAGGCGCTCAGCCATCAACCGAAGGCCGGTGCAGACGGGAAGGTCCGTACGTGAGAGGTCCATTTCATGCCCAGACCAAGCAGCATGATGTCTCCACTAGTTCAACACGCCTGTGGGATTTATAGGACAGTTTAATCTGCTTCGTGGCGATGTGATCAGTCTGTTTGAACGCTTAGTTAAAGCGGGTGCTGATTCAATACTTGATGTGGCCCCACTCATCCATGTCACCTCCCTTGTGTTAGCCAGGAGTTCATGAGCCCGAGCGACCAGCTGCAGGCTGGGAGGGATCTAATTATATGTGTAAGGCGATCAAAGGCACTCTCATGCCTTGGCATAGCTGAGTCAAGAAGTGAATTGTTTTGGATTTGACACAACTTAACCACTCTATGTGAGGCTCGAATTTGGCCTCAGCGCGACTGCAGTGGACTCAGTAATTATTTTGGGATGGGTGTCGTTCCGCTGGGCTGTGCCAGTGTGGCTATATTATCAACAATAAAACCCCCGTATGATGATCAATTTTCTACATTAATGACTTATGTGTAAGTAGAACGATGTGCTGAGATTAGTTTTGTGAGTATGCAGCTGGGATAACAGTGGCTAGCCAGAGTGGAACAACTGGCAGTGGCAGAGAGCAGAACGGGGGTCAACAGCGAATCCCTTTCAGATTGAGCTGGTCATGTGGACAGTCACTTGAGCCCAAAGGAGAGGAGCTGAGCCACTAAGGCTGGTGCCAAGTCCCTGCACTGCAACGGGCTCCAGCCTTGCATCACCAGCTGTATTTGATCGTTTGGGTTGACGACGAATTTTCTCATCCAAGTAGCAGCTGGCGTGAAGATCAGCGGGTGTGAAGATTCCTAGTATCGTTCAGACAGGATGTGTTGAATCTGCTCACTTGTGGGATCGGCTCTATATACCATTTGTTCCGGAGACCAAGAGACCAGCCGCCAGTGGAACTTTCCATGTTTCAACCCCTTCTGCTCAACCCCTCTGGCTTTGCAACAGCTCCACGATCGAGTCCGTGTGGCTGCGCCAGGCCGGGGCCACCGAGAACGAGAGCCCCCTGCGTGTGTGGATGCCTGGCGGATGAGACGGAGGTTCCTTCGTAACAAGAACCT